TATATACCAAGCAATGGCCGGGTTACAGCATGCCCACGGAAATTCTAGAACGCTCACTGACCAGTTCAAGACAGTCATGGTACTAACTACATTTGGTGTCAATGGGTGAATAGGTCACCAACGACTTCATTGCAAAAGTACAACCCATCTACCACTTCTCGGTTTTCTGTTTTGATGATGTGTACGCGGGTTTGTTGGAAATGAATCTCCGTTGTGTGTTTTTTGTACGTGCTTTCGGGGTTGGGTGGAAAAATATAGCGTTTGCCGTTTTTTATTACTTGATTGTTTTGATGAACTTATGCAGGTTTGCCTACAACCAACCATACCTGTTAGCGATATTAATTCGTTCCATGATATGTTATTGAAAATAATTATAATTCACCGTAAAGTTACACCGCCTGCGTTACCATAGTGAGACTAAAACCACACACGACGGAGGGAAGATGTGGGCGTATTTTTACACATAAAAAATGTCAATATAATTCGTTTCCAATCGCAGAGAAACAGTGCACGAGACGTTGCATGTCCATCCATCGAAATTGGAATGTGGCGAATGCCGGGAAAAAATAAAGGATCAGTACTTTCTGAAGGCCATAGGAAAATACTGGCACGAAGACTGCTTAGTGTGTGATTTATGTCAATGTCGCCTTGGAGAAGTTGGTTGTCACGTGCTCGTCAAATTAGGGAGGAAATTGTGCAAGAGAGACTATCTACGGTAAGTTGAGTCTCGAGTCAGCCCGAGTGTACTTCCCTCAATTATCCGGGTTGTACTTTCCTCGGCTCCTCGGATATACTTCACTGAAAGGTTGCAGTACTATGTTTACACAATTTTGCGGAAAACTTTCGGGAGAATGAACGTGGGTGGCAAATGACTGAAGATTTCAGCGACAATTTCTAGGCGCAGGCCATTTGCATGTACACCGAAAATTGTGAGAAACGATAACAAGAAATTGAGTGAAGAAGACCAGTAACGTCTCGAGTTCTATGTGTTCAAATTATCAAGCAAATCAACTCACAACGCAATCCATCGTTACCGAATTTGCCATACACTAAACAATGGCGGGTTATGACTATTCAGTTCACAGTGACAATTAAATAAACCATGTAATAGCATTTACACCCACTTATCATGAACATATTTTGTTTACAAATTTTGGATACCCAATTAAATGATAATTTGTGACGTCACTATTTCTGTTCTGTCAATATATGCTTGCATGCAATTAAACAATATGATGTGTTATCTAAACTTTTAAACTTTGTTTTTTATTCCGGTAGGTTATTCGGTCCTACTGGCCTATGCAATTCATGTCAACAACCAATAGCAGCATATGAAATGGCGATGAAAATCACTCCGCAAGTGCAATACCATCTGGAATGTTTTAAATGTGCTGAGTGCGAGAAAAACTTCTGTGTGGGAGACAAATTTTACAATCTTGAGTCTAATATCTTCTGCGAGACTGACTACATTGTAGCACTTTCCAAATTTGGTGGAGAGCACTGAGAGTCCTGTCATCATATCTTGTGCGTGCAAAAGTGCATTGTGGGTAGTGATGTTGGTATTGAGCAAACACCGTGACAACTCTGCAAACATAACTACAGATTTTATTGCTTTGAATATATAAATCTTGAGTGGTGGAGATAAAACGTAAAAGATTTATTGCTTTCAAGTTGGCTGTTGAATTTTAATCTTTATCCATGTTTTTTTTTATAAATTCCATACACATTATAAATATACGCATGTATGATTATAATTAGTGTGTAGAATGATTGGAAATCAGCATGTGTACATTTGTAAGCTACTGCATGCATTCATTGATTCATTTCATGAAACAGTTGCATTTTGGGTAATAGCTCACATAATTGAGTTTAACCCAATAAATTGTATGCTATTCAAGCATTCTCTTTGTGACACATTTGTTTATACTAAATGAAGAGTTACAACACTTAAAATAGAATAAACAGTCAAGATATGACAATTTTTTGTATTGTTGCAAGCTTTTTAGGGGGTCAAAATCATTATTTTCCTCATGATCGGCAGTACATCAACAAGCAATCTGATTAAAATAAGATCCCGGTGGCTTTCACAAACAAAACCATTCTTGCAGCAAAATATTTGTAACGTCAAAAAAAAAAGTAAAATAAATAATAATTACAGTAATTATATAAAAAAATACAAAAATTAAGCCAACCAGGATCTTATTTTAATCAGATTGATCAACAAGGAATACCTACAACATAAATGACATGCATATAACAATGTAGCATACTAAACATGATACGAGAGATGCATAAAATGATATTACTTTCACATAACTAGTGTATTCATGTTTCAGTTACACAGATGGGTGACGTGTTTTTATCTGTCATGATACTGTTTTGTTAATTCTAACTAGGACCAACTATATTACTTTCACACAAAGTCATGACAGAATGTTGCCACCAGAGGGCGCAATTTATTGGAAATCTGCCTGAGCCATTACAAAATACATGTACCTTATTTGCTCTATTAGAAGCACATCTCTAATACTTTAATTGTATGTGGATGATTGAAATATGACTTGATTATAAACTTTAACATACCTTTTATTTACGCAAGTGTTTGCACTACTATCACAGTGAATATGGTATCTTGTGTTTAAGTATACAACGTGTCTTCGACCAAGTTCACAAGTAATATATGCAGAAGTAGAACACGACTGAGGCATGAAACCAAAATATTACAATATCAAATTTTTAATCATAAAACTGTATGTACATGAAAATGGAAATAAGATCAGCTTATCCTGATATGTAAATAGTTAGCATGACAACCATCATCAGGGAGATAGTGGGTTCAAATCCCAAGGTCAGGTGCATACTCAACAATACAAAAAGAGTATATTCTGCTCACCTACCACGCTCACTCCATTCATATTTGGGAGTTGTCGATCCCGTGTATTGTTCATATCCTCAGTGCACGTAAAAGACCCAGTTGTATATTTCTGTTAAATGGACACCAAGCCTGTTAACAGGAAACTAGAGTATTCGTATGCATCTTCAATCTGATAAATACTGATTAAATAACCAAAAAATGTGTTCATACAAAGTCTTCTTTCTATTTGATCTCATTTTGACTGGTTTATATTTACAACATATAAGGTAAATAA